ATCTAAATGATGAATATGGAGAGTTTGGATGTTGTAGTACTTTCAAATGTTAATGCCCATATCCTAACAATCTAAGGGTGTGTTTGGTTCATGGATAGGACCAGAATCGGAATCAGAATCACTTATTCCTGTCACCTTTTGGTTTAATCAGGAATCAGAATTGGATTCTGATTGTTGCTGTTTGGTTCAGTTAGAAGTTGGAATCAGAATGAGCCAAAATTTTCAATTCTGCCCTTGTTAAAAGAACCTCAAAAACAGCTCACTTATTATAAATTTTCAATATATAAACACAATGGCAACCTACTAACAAGTGCATATGGAGAAAATATGAAAAATGAAAAGAAAACACGTAAACAAACAAAAATCACAAAAAAAAATCATTCTCCATCATAAAAAAATGAAAAAAAAACACATAAACAAACAAAAATCACAAAAAAAAATCATTCTCTACCATAAGGAAATGAAAAGAAAAACACATAAACAAACAAAAATCTCTCATACTAGTGAAAATATTACAGGAATCATCATATATATCCATGTACATAAACACATTGGCAACCTTTGATGGTATTACCTCTTACAGACCATTGAGATTTGATGTCACTCAATTCAGAAAACAGATTAATGTTTTTGTTACTAGAAAAGCAACCAACATTATTCAAAACACATTGTATGACTGTAAAGTAGAATGCTTCTCTACCTGAGAAGAGAGCTCATTTTCCATTTAGTGGGTCTTCTCTAGTCTGCACTCTTAAGTCTTAACCATCGGAGTTACTGTATTATGTATGGTTCAAAGTGTTATATATTTACTTTACAGGTGAGGGGCTGAAATCATAAAACATAGTCTTCCATGGTTCATCTATCCTAAATTGGACCCTTCAGCTTGAATATTGTTGGCTAGCACTTTCGGCTCTTTGCCTCTTTTTGGTTGGGCTTGAATTTGAGTAATTTCAGATTTTTCAAAATTCATTAAGCTCATCTGAAATCCAACATACTAAATTGGACCTTTACACTGCCTTTGGTTTGACAGGAAATAGAAGAAAAGGGAATCATAAAATACTTTTCCCCAACAACTTTGTGTTTCTCTCTTATGTTCTATATCAAACCAAACATAGACTTAGGTTGAACACCAAAGCTGGTCATCTTGGATCTTTAGGTTAGCTAGGAATAACACCTAAACCAAGATGGGAAAACATTGTGGAGAATTTACCTTCACCTATTGGTGTTTTCCCCACCTTTACTAAGTTGATTATCAAAGGCTAATCTGACTATCCCCAAAGAAGCCCAACCAAATATTGCACTAATTATTAAAGCCAATTTATTTCTTCAATGCTTTGAGCTGGTTGGTCCTTGTTTGGATCCTCATAATTTTTCTCATATTCAACTAGTTCATTTCTTAAGTTCTTTAAGCTCAGTCTGGAAGGAGTACAAATGCAAATTTGTAGAGTGCAAATACATACAAAATAATACAAAATACAAGGTTTTACACTCTACAAATTTGCATTTGTGCTCCTTCCAAACTGAGTCTTAGAAATCAATGATGCTTTTTTATCTTCAGAATGGTGATCCTCTTCAAGGTGGATAAGACAGATGATGAACCATAACATGTTAAAATTATGATGATGTTGAAAAAGAAACAAATAGTCATGGACTGAAAGATGTCTTTGTTGGGTTAGCAACTAAAATTTGAGTAAAGAGCTACTTGCAATCTGTTGAGCCACATGTGGTTGAGTATGAAGTACTGAACCCCCATTATTCTCTGTTAAGCATATTGTAGAAGATCAATTTGCTGGTAGAATCAATTATGGATTCAAATATACATATCTTAAGGGTAATAACTGCAATGTGTTCTACAAAAGAATTCACACTAATGGTATTCTAGATATTTCTAGGATCATCAGGATCCTCAAATGGATATTCTCCAACCAACATGACATAAAGTGTCACACCATAGGACCAAACATCCACAATTTGCAATTGAAAAAATGCCAAAAAATCCATGAATGTTATAGATAAACAACCTAGATCAATGATATACAATCCATAACATGCATCTCTTTGATCGTTGAAATCATCTTTGAGTTTTGTCATGGAAAACTCATTCCTGAGGCTGTAATAAAAGATAGTTGTAAAAGAATGGATTGCACCTGGTCTCTACAATCCATAATATCCAAGTGTCAAGCTTCCATGCCATTTCATCACCATCTTCATATAAGCCCTACCCCAACTATATAGGGTTGGCTACAAAAATCCTGTTTCATAATCTTCCAGGCCATTTAAAATATTAAAATCCATACTACAATCTGAAATGCTTTTTGATATCATGTCTTTATTGAAAAAAATAAAGTTATGAATTTTTTGGTTATGTGAATATTGAACACATGGTCATAAAATCTGAAATGCTCCCCGACCCCCAATAAAAGAAAAGAAAAGAAAAGAAAAGGTCTCTCTAACTGGTTTGCAAAAATATCAGTGAAATGACAATGGATGAGATGGTTTTGATGAAATGTAATTGCACTTTTGGACCATCACCCCAGTATTGTTCATATTTAAATGGTCAGAACTAGTATCCTCTGTACCATGCACCAACATAAAGAAATATCAAAATCCTAGCAAACTTCCTCTTTTTCTTTCACTTGTTAAAGGGAAAGTTAAATACCTTGCCATCATATTCCTTTCTTGATAGAACTTTTGGAGCAATGTATGTCGGTGCTCTTATTGTTGATTTCGGTTGTGAGTGCAGTAAAGCTAATTGCAATGTATGGAGAGAAGAGAAGAAAAAGTTGAATAGTCAAAGTTCTTATTCATGATACCGAACACAAATCCAGAACTCGAAAATTACAAACCTTAGAATAACCGAAGTCACATATTTTAAGATGTGGTGTAAAACAAACCGAAATATAGGAGGAGGATGGGAAGAAGGATGGTCGACGACCATTTTACCTCGCCGGAGATGTGATTGGTGGCAATGGCGGCAACGACAAGTGGAGGCTGAAGGACAGGAGTTCCTTACACAGCAACTTTCATTGATTAGGGGTTGGAACGAAGGTTTTTTTTTTGTCCCCAAAAAAAAACCTCAAAAACCGGAATGGGAATTGCATTCCGTGGGGGGGAGTCGGGAATCACCATTCCCCCGTATAGAGGAATCCCATTCCGCCTGGACCCATTCCAGTCAACCAAACACTGGGAATTCTGATTTCAGGCTCCTATTTCCTCGAATCAAACACACCCTAAATTTTAAATATTCAAATCAAAGTTCAAAATTTTGATATGGTATATAAGCATATTGATAGTCCTTGGAAACTCCAAATAAAAAATATTTCGGAATTTGACCACTTTCAGGGGGATAGTGATGCCTAGAACGACCCCTTTAAAACAAAATTGGAAAAAAACTAAAAAAAATATTATTAAGTATTGAAATTTGACCCATATTGTTCATATTGGATGTGTCCATACTTTAAATTATGTTTCAAACTGAAAAAGAAAATAAGAAAAAGTATCGTGTGTATGTGCGATACTTTGAACTAAATGATTGGACCAACCATCTATATATTTGGTTTGAAGGACAAGGCAGCTGGGAAAAGGAAAGGAAAGATAAAAAACCTATACAAAGTTTATAAAAATTTCCATGCAATTTCCTTCAATCAAACATAGCCTAAGACTACCTCTCCCTACGTCCCTTGTACACCCAATCACAAATACCGATCTTTTCCTTTTAATGAATAGAGGAATTATATTGCAGTAATCTTTTCCTTTTTTTTTTATTCTTTAGTGGTATTCACTTAGACTATGTTTGGTTTTGCTAATACATGAATTTTAATCCATTTAAAGTTAAAATTTTTAGTTTTAACCAATTTAGAATATGAATTTTGAGCTCATTAAAAAATAATTCTAATGATTTTCACAAATCTAAGCTTAAAAATAGGAGTATAATCAAGCAGCCGAACTTTGTCATGTTTTGAATGTATGTATATTAATTAACCCTAGCTCACAAATTTTTCAGCCCAACTTTTATTGGTGTAACTTGAGTTCGAATAACCAATTCAATCTACCTTAAGGTTGTATTTGGAAAAAATGCAAATATGTAAATCGTAAAATGGTTAACTTAAATTATAAAATTGAATTAGTTTTGCATTGACAAATTTATCTTTTTATTAAACAGATTTTTAACTATAATGAATGCAAACACGAATTCTAATAAAATATATGTTTTTCTTTATCAAAAGCCAATACAAATTTATTTCTTTTTTATTGATATATTTTTACATCTTATTATTAATATAAACATACATTGATCTATCATTTATCAATACAAAAATATAATGTTACCAAACACAAATAAAAATGAACCAGAGTTCAAATTTATCTTAAACCAGAATTTACACTACATTTTGCATCGTTTTCAAACGCATCCTAATGTTAAAACTCAAATCGAACCTAAGGAAATTCTAGCCCAGATTTTGATTACAGTCATTCTTAAAGTAGAATTAAGAAATTATCATAACTAATCTTCTTATAACAGCTGTAATGCCAGAAGAATTCTCTTTTTTTCCTTTTAATAAATTTTTGCTTTACAGCCTAATTTCTCTATCTCTTGTTTGATTGATAAAATCTGTGAACCGTTCGACTTTGAATAATCTCAATAAAAAGATAAATAGATAGACACAGAGCGTGGTTGGTGACCGTAGCCACATGACTTTTTTGGTTGTTTGAATGATATTTCCACCACCTGGCCTTTACTTTCAAAATCTGTGTGCCTACCAACCCAGAGTCCCAGACCCAAATAATGGGAGAGAGACAGACAGCCAGACCCAGAACAAACACATGGAGATGTGGCGAAAATCAAAGCCTTAGTTAATGAGCAGCAACTGATCACGGAGATGAAAGATGATGTGCGGTATAGATTTCTATCACTTTATGCCAGCAGCCTCAGAAGCCTCCCACCTTCGATTCAATTCAGAAATATCATTACTTTTAAATCCCAAGACACTTTTGTCTTTTTGCCTATAAATGAGCTCCCTCTCTCCTGTGTCTGGCACAATCTCAAACCATGGCTAGAGCTTCAACCGGTTCTTCCTCTTCTGCTCTGGTCTCTAAACTTCTGATATCGTCTCTACTGTTGGGTTGCTATTGTTTGGTGTCTGAGGCACAGACCACTCCTCCCTTGGTGAAGGGACTGTCATGGACCTTCTACAAAACTAGCTGCCCCAAGCTGGAGAACATTATCAGGAACAGACTCAAGAAGGTCTTCAAGAAAGACATCGGCCAAGCTGCAGGCTTGCTTCGTCTTCACTTCCATGACTGTTTTGTTCAGGTAAATACGCTGAATTGCTGATTTGAAAAGCTGTTTTGTGTCTTCATGTGAACCCAAATCAATGCTCGATCGTTTTTAATTTGCTGGCTCATTTCTTTTCCCTTTCTGGTTGCTCCATCCATATCACATGCGGATGCGGTTAGGGGGTACTATACTAACCTGCGCAGGTGGAGCTTTCGATCTTTCCAAAGGGGACCCAGATGGGGAGATTGCTGAATCTACTTACATATTTTACTATTTTAGTAGAATCCATAGTTTCATTCCCTTTTACTTCTCATTCATTCATTGCATGCTAACGTGCGCCGCTGATTTCTTCTTTTTTCTTGGCGCTTCATGCTTCAAAGGAATTTGGTTGGTGGTTCAGTACTGATCTTATACTCTGCTTCTTTAGTTTCTACAGAGGGAAAAAACAAACTCTGTTTCTTTAGTTGATAACTTGATATTAATTCCAAGTTGAAAAAAGACCAAGGATTTTATGATCAGAAAAACTCAAAAAAGTGTTGGTCCCATTTTGGTACTGTATTAAACCTGGATGAAACTAGCAAAGGTATTATCTTTAGAAAAGCTAAAGAGTCATCTTGAGGGGTATGCGTAGTGCGCACCACTGGCCTTCATTATTATGGCATATTCATTCATTCGTTCTTCTACTACTATATAACGTAGGGATGTGATGGGTCGGTTTTGCTGGATGGATCAGCCAGTGGCCCTAGCGAGAAGGACGCGCCACCCAACTTGAGCCTACGCGCTGAGGCATTCCGTATCATCAACGACCTCCGTGCCCGCGTCCACAAGGAGTGCGGACGCGTCGTCTCCTGTGCCGATATTACTGCCATTGCTGCTCGTGACTCCGTTTTCCTCGTACCCTCTCTCTCTCTTTCTCTCTCTCTCTCCGCGCGCTTTTCTCTTCAATCTCTGATCTGGGGTTTCTTTTAAATGCTGTGAATTGCAGTCTGGAGGTCCCAATTACAGAGTTCCACTGGGAAGGCGTGATGGGCTCAGCTTTGCCACCAGGGAGGCTACTCTAGCTAACCTTCCAGCTCCATCTAGCAACACCAGCGCCCTTCTGACCTCATTAGCCACCAAGAACCTTGATGCCACCGATGTCGTGGCTCTTTCCGGCGGCCACACCATCGGCATTGGCCACTGCACCTCCTTCACCTCTCGCCTCTACCCTTCTCAGGACTCCACCATGAACAAGTACTTCGCCAGTCAACTCAAGCTCACTTGCCCCACGGCGACGACCGACAACACCACCAACTTGGACATCCGGACACCTAACGTGTTCGATAACAAGTACTATGTCGATCTCATGAACCGGCAAGGGCTATTCACGTCGGACCAGGATCTGTACACCGACAAGAGGACCCGGCCGATTGTTACCAGCTTTGCGGTGAACCAGACGCTGTTCTTTGAGAAGTTTGTGTACTCTATGCTTAAGATGGGTCAGTTGAGTGTTTTGACGGGGACTCAAGGCGAGATCCGTGCAAACTGCTCGGCTCCCAACTCTGCTACCACATACCTGTCATCCATCGCCGACGAGGAAGAAGGGACAAGCGCAGCGTTCTAAGGATGTTGATGTTGTATAATGTGAGCAAAGTGCATAGAAGTGTTGTGTTGCGTTGTGTGTGGTTTGTGTATGAATGAATGAATGGTTACTCCTCTCTTTATGTTTCACTTTAAGCACTGTTGGTAACGGTGTTTTAAACCAGGTAACTCGGAAACGAGTCGTAATTCAACTAGTTTAAGCAACAGCAAGTAACATATGAAGAGCGTTTTGAATTTGGGATGAACAACACCAGGGCTGGGTATGGCCTACGGTGGGCCTCCGTTGACTTAATTTTGGGCATACTTAGGACTTAGCCCAACTCCTTTAGTCATGCCCACTCTAAGCACTGAATGAGTGAGCCCAATACCATCCCAACTATTCGTACAGCCATGAAACTTTTAGGCTATGTTTGGTTTAAAGGAAAAAGTAGGGAAAGGAATTTGTAAAGGTTTCCTTACCTGATATTCATATTTTCAACTCTAGTACTATTGGATTTGACACATAAATAGAGGCACGTGTATATATTTCTTGATAGAGCCCATCCCATGCAGCCCATTTACAACACAAAGCGAGTCCCAACACATAATCCAGGGTTGTCCAGTTCAGTAAAAGTTCAAGGGAAGAAGTGAAATGGGTTAAAGATTGTCTGAAGATATTCGAGATCATGGTTGTCTGGACTGATGGTCGGATCGGAAAAACCGGAAACCGGTCAGGTGACTGGTTCCATTTTATTCCAGAATAGTTATTTTGTCAAAAATTGTTGATTTGGTCAGTAAATTATTGATTTAGGCAGTCGAATCATTCAAATCGTTTAAATCATTTAATGGTTTTAGTCATTTTTTATTTTTTAAATTTTTTAATTATTGTCAGAACAGACCATCGTTCAATTTGAACAGTTGGACCATTTGACCCAAGAATCAGATCCCTGACCGGTTCGTTATCCGGTTCGATTTTAGAAACTTTGTTGGAGATCAAAATTAGTTAATGGTTAAGAAAACAAGACATGCAAGGTTCAGTGACTTCAGTCGTTCCGAGCTTAGAGGCAAGGGTCATAGATTCTCCCTCTTTGCCTGGTATAAACAAGGCCCAAAAGACCCATTTCAAGTTAAGGCCACTGTTTAACCCTTGGAGAATTACACTTTGTGTATTTAGGAATCCAGGATTGCAAAGGATCTCATCGAATTTGGATAGGTATATGTTAGATACGATCCAATAAGAATGGAAAATTCAAATTCAATTTGTTTATATATCCAGATATCTGATTTGAATCAATGAATCTGATTCAATTCAAAGCTCAATAAATCCATATAAAATTAGCATAAATCTCAATACAATTTAAGCCTGTTACCAAATACTAAAAAAAATTAAAAAGAAATGGGTATTTTATATATGTATGTATATACAAATTACATCGGATCAGATCCTAGTGGATTGGATCAAGCAACACCCCAATCGAATTAAATCCAACCCATTTGCAGCCCTGTAGTCTTTTGGACCATGGAGACTCCAAACTCTCGTAGAAATAGATTATAAAAATCAGAGTTTTGAAAAAAAGGAATAATGCTTCTTTTATCATCTCCACCCATATGATAGTAAGATAGTTGAGGCATGTATTTCCATTTGGGCATCCATATGCTGATCATTCCAATCATATGTGTGTATGCATACTTTTATATATATTAATTAGAAAAGGAGCATCAAAACATTGTATATTATTTCTAGGGCCTTGGTTAGGGTTTGGGTTGATTTGATTAAAATCTTGACAAAATCCTATCCCTAACCCGTCCATGTTGCACCCCTACAACTGGCTACTTTTAGGCTAAAGCCAACCCTCCTTGATCCATATATTGTTTTTGTAAAGCATATGAACTTATGCATTATGTGTTGATTTAATAATATTTGAACCTCATGTGAAGGATATTTGATAGCTTATGTGTCTTCTATACGTTTCAATTAAATAGTTGGAAAATTTGATGTTTATTCATGTTATTTTACTTATTTATGGTTTAAATTTAATAGAAAATTAGATGCGGGTTCTAGACCCAATCTGCCCTACCCTCAGATGTGGGAAAAATAACATGGGGGAGGGTTTTGCATTTTCATATGTGAAGAGAAGTTGGATTCTGAAAATCTAACCCATTGAGGATTTTGAAAAAATGTATCAATTGGGAGGTTTGGAGAAGTGGGGAGGATCTAGAATTTACAGGGCCCTCCCTAACTCGCCCCGTTGCCATCCCCACCTCTGACTTATAAGTCTTACTCTACCTACTAGCACAGACTCCAGATCTCCTGCCCACGAGAACTCTACCCATGTCTACCCACAACACACTACCCCTGTGAATTGAGAACATCTCCCCAGCATAATTTCATGTAGGAGGATGAGATATTTTCCATGTGTGGCTGTGATATTGTGTGGGTAAACATGGGCAAAATTTGTATGGACAGGAGATCTGGACTCACTAGCACATTGCCCGGCCCAGCTCATGGGAAATGAGCTTCAACTAAAATCTAGTATTCTAACATATTTAATGATTACAGAGTAAGGATGTTTTTTCAACTACTGGTGTAACTCTTCTAGCCTAAAAGATTTTCCCTTCCTCTTATCACAAGGTACCAATTAGCAAAGATTTGTTGGTTTCCATTTATAAATATTGAAGGCTTTGCGATGGGGAATGATAATTAATTTATAAGTGGGTCTGTGTGATTTGCTGGTCCAATTAATTTGTAATTGGACCCGATTAGATGTAGAGCTGTCAAAGGATCAGATAGAACTGAACCGAACGAAACTGATTATATTGATATTGGATCTGACTATCTGAGTATTGCGTCCAGATTAAAATGGGTCAGGACTGTTGTTTTGCTGTTCTGTATTCGAATCAATTAATCCGAACTGATTATCTCATGGGTTTGGTTTCTACCAGGTAAATTTCAAAGACGTACAGTATGTAAGATGATTCCAGTTAAAAAATATTTATCTTATCAACAGGTAAACTGGTTCACTATTTACTGTCTTTTTCTATTAAGGTCAATTTATCAAAATGAAGTTTCAAATTGTTATATTAGAGGTAATTATAGATGTCAAGTATAATCAGATATAATTGGGCCATAGCTAATTAGCCCAATTAATAGTTTGATTTCGAATCTGGTTTTATAGAATCGATAGGGTCTGGTCTATATATATGTCTTAGCAGGGACCCGTGTAATAATACACTTAAGGAAAAATGAAATAATGGAAATTATAATTATTATAAGGAAGAAATGCAATGATATATATGGAAAGAGAGAGAGAAATAAAAAAAATTCCACGGATCTTAAGAAAAGAAAATCTAACCCACTAGAAGTATTCCGTGATTTCTCACATTCATAACTTCCTGAGAATGTAATCCTACCAGGCTTCCAATGTTACAGAAAAGTGCTAGATTAATGAATTCTAAGCAGACATAGCATCCAAAGTTAAATAACAATCTATGCCCATCTTCGAATTGAAACGATGAGCCAATGCTTACAAGTCATCAATAACACGAGATGGTTGTAACTTGTAAGTTTCGTTTTCAGTTCATACCACTCAAAGTAAGTTGGTTAATATCGCTTTTTAAGTCATCTTTGGGAGAGCTTAAAAATAACTGTTTATTCAAAATAAGTGTTTATTTGGGTCATTAAACACTTACTGGTATTTGGAAAATAATCCCAAAATAAGTGCTTATTTTATAAATAAGGGCTTATTTTTTAAACTCAAATTTCTAGCTTTTTTTAAGTGCTTATACAATAAACACTTATTCAAAATTTTTCTTCCAAAATTATCCCTAATTGAATTTTAAAATACCATTTATAAAATTATCCCTAATTGAATTTTATAAAAGTACTTTTATGAAAGCACTTTTACAAAATCACTTTAATAAAAGTACTTTTACGCAAGCACTTTTACAAAGGTACTTTTATAAAAGTAGTTTTGTAAAATTGCTTTCAAAAAAGTACTTTCATAAGGGTACTTTCTTAAAAATGTTTTCATAAAAGTACTTTATAAAAATGCTTTCATAAAAGTACTTTCATGAAAGTGTTTTTATAAAAGTAATTTAATAAAAGTGCTTTCAAAGTGTATATTTTGAAAATTTGAAAAAAAATTAAGGACAAAATAGTCACAAATGCTTGTTTAAGAGCTTATTAGAGAAATAGACTACCAAAAGCCCAATATAAAATAAATAAGCACTTGAAAAAGTTGGGTGCCAAATGCAAATAAATGCTTATTTGAATAAGCACTTGTTTTTAAGAACTTATTCAATAAGCACATATTTTTAACTTAAGCACTCCCAAACATGGCCTTAGAATGCTTCATTCATCGGTAAGAGATGGCCTTAAAGAATCCCTGACGTGCTAGGCATTTTGGGTTATCATTTTATCATTCTATTATTATGATGCATATTCTATATTCTTATCCTATAATCGTAATCCTTATAATGTAACCATTTACATCCATAAACACAACTTTATGGGTCCCAGTCACCTAAGAACCCACACATTCCTTTAGGCTGTGTTCGGTTGCAATGCAAATAAATTTGCACTGATGCAAAATCATGGCAGTGCAAATGATTTGAGTGTAAATTCTAACCTATTTTTATTTCAAATTTTATCTTATTTTGTTTTGTTGCAGTACAAATGAAGTAAATTAAAACATGAAGCAAAATAAAGTAAAATCCAAAACAAAATTTAACAAGAATTTGCATTTTTTACATTTGCACTCCCTTGCATTTGTACTAATGCAAATAAATTTGCACTGGAACCAACAAATGTGCATGTGCTTTTGCATGTATCAATTTTAGATGGTGATGATGATAATGATGATAATGATGATGATGATGATGATGATGATAATGTGCACAAATTGTTCTAATTTTCCTATGAGTTGCATCAGGTTGACATTAAGGCTTTTAACAACTCTCATGATCATGGATTATGATTTGTCCTTTTTCTTGTTAGATAGAATAAAATGGTGAAAAAAAATTTATGTAGCAAACCCCATATAGTTGGGACAAGGCTCTAATGATGATGACAATTTTTATTTAATATAATGAATATATAATACTAGAGATGTGCCAAAATGTTTTCTACAAAATATGTCAAAAAGAAATGA